GGTTATTGTCATGAGTTAGGAGTTGGAGTCAAAATCGATAAGAATAAAGCATTTGAGAACTATAAGAATTCAGCAAAGGCAGGTGATTCGAAAGGGTTCTCTAGGATTGTCATTTTTTCTGATGAAATGGGAAGTGCCGATGGAATGTTTCAAGTCAGTAATTGTTATCTTCACGGAATTGGAATTGAAAAGGATGAAACTCAGGCCTTTATCTGGTATACAAAATCAGCTGATATGAATGATTCAGATAGTATAATCTGGCTTGGTTACTGTTACGAATTTGGAATTGGAGTTGAAAAGGGTGAAAACAAATCGTTCATTTATTATCGAAATTCGGCAGAGCTGAAAAATCATAACGGAATTTTTCAAGTTGGATCGAAAAGGATGATCAGAAAACATGAACAAGCCAAATTATGTTAATATAAGATGGGAATAACTTACGGGGTGTTACCAGTTGCAGTAACCCCAAGAAATGGTTCAAGGAATGGTTCGGAAGAGGAGTTGCATCTGGGGTTGTAAAGTATACTGGACTGTTTGCCATGGAAGCGTTTAAGTTGCTGTGTAATGGTGAAGGTTTGTGGGAGACGGGAACTAAGAGGATTTTAGTCGGTAGGTTAGCAGGGAGAGTAGTTAGTGAGGCGAAAGGAAAAGGTAGCATGGGGAATAGTGTCGAGATAGGAATGCATGGGAAAAGGAAAAGTGGCATTAGTTTAGAGGGTGTGGCGTATGATGTTGGTTTTGGAAAAGGTGGTAGCAGGTGAGGGGAGTGTTGAAGCACAAGAGTGGGTAGCACTTGATTTGCAATATACGGTATTGGAGAGGTCTTTAGCAAGCGACGCTGCAGGCGATGGTTAAAAGTCGATAGAGGAAATTTAAAGGTGTGTTCAGAGGATGTGTGACTGGAGTTAAGTGGTCCGTGGAGTTGGTCTTGTTTATTTCAAGGAGGTCTCAGGCTGTATGTCCCAAATAGGTTCTAGGATATGTGATATAATCACCACCACCGGATTTGTCCAGTTAGGGTGTTTAACGGGTATTGTATTATTAAATTGTGACCCTTGTTTGGCCGATTGAAGATAGATGGTCGGCAGCAGTGACGTGAGGAGAAGTGTCTTTGACTTAAATTAGTACCATTGAAGGATGGATTCGAGGGCAATTATGCTGTAGTTGGGATGGTGAAAGCAACGAAGGAGAGAGCATTGGTAGGAATAGGTTTTTGAGAGGTTATACATAAGCCAGCTAAGTTGGGAATCTATACATTGTGCATATATTTCAAAAGGGAAGAGAAAGAGAATGCGATGCTCGTGATGATCCCATATGTGTATTTCATAGTCATGTGGTTGGAATGAGTCGAGTGACAAATGAGATGCCGTGAACGAAGTCACGTGGCATCTATTTGTCACGAGACCATAACCCAGGTCCATGACATAGAGGTGACGACTGGTAAGTATGAGGTAATGGTGACAAGTGTAAGAAGCAGGTGAGAATGATGTATTGAATCGAAGATGTTAAATGCATAAGTATGAGGTCATGAGTAGTGGCTATTTTGGAGGAGAGGTGTGAGAAGTTGTTCTCCCTCTTTTGTTTTTGCTGTTAGCTCGATGGAAGTCCAGCTTTGTTGTTTAGTCCCGCCCACCCACCACTAGATAGGAGCTTTTGTGGGTTTGGTGGTCTTATGGAGGGTTCGATAGCTCGGGTGGACAACCTGATTATCGAAGGTAAGTGGCTAGTTGGCCTGGTCGAACAGATCGGGTATTAGGGAAGAAGAGAGTAAGAAACCGTAGACGAAGTCATGAGGGATCCATGCATCACAGGACTGTGACTCAGCCCATGACGTTGGTAGGTTGACGTTGGGGTGTTTGTGGCGAGTAGTTTATAAGCATAGTCGATAGCCTGGGTAGACAACCCAGATATCGAAGATGAATGCTTTGGTAGTTGAAGGATGTTAAGGAAAGAGAATTAAATGTTGTGATGAAGTTACGTGACATCTGTTTATTACGAGACTGTGAACCGGGTCTTTGATATAGAGTTGAAGTATGAGTTATTGGTGTTTGTTGAGTATGGGAAATGAGTAAGAATGAGTTATTATGTGAGAGGTATTGATTCAGTTGAGTAAGTATAAGTGACAAGTATAGAAAATGATGAAGGATAAGGTATTGTGTGGGAGATGTTGGTTGGTTAGATCAGTATGAGGTTATAAGGGGTGGTTATTTAAGAAAAAAGGTAGGGAGTTGTTCTCCCTCTTTTGTCTTTGCTGCTAGCTCGGTGCAAGGCTAGCTTTGTTGTTAGTACCCACCTATTTGCCACTGGGAAGGAGATCTTGGTAGGTTAGGTTGACATACAGGTGTGGTCGATAGCTCGGGTGGACAACCCGGATATTGGAGACAACTGTTGTGCAGTCTGATCGAACTGACTGGTTGTTAGAACAAGAATGATGGATGCATTAGCAGAGCACAGTTCTAGGGTCCCTGGTCACGAGATTAATCGTATTCCATGATATAAACTAGCGGTCAGTTGTGATGTATGAGCAATTTGGGTTGTTTCAATAGAAGTCTAGCTTAATAGCAGCAGGGGTGTAGAGGAATGTAATGAGATTTGATAAATCATAAGTTTGGTTTTGATAGCCCGGGTAAGCCACCCGGATATCAAAGAGAAATAATTGATAGCCCGATCGAACAGATTGGATGTCAAAAAAAGAGGAACAGTAGCATACGATGCTATAGGATCAGCTGTAGACCACGTGAGCAGCGAGGCGATATCCCATATGTGTATTTCATAGTCATGTGGTTGGAATGAGTCGAGTGACAAATAAATTTCCGGATAACACCAATAGTAATATTGGGCAATTGAATCCGGATTTATTTAAAATCCGGATTAATCCGGATATATTTAAAATCCGGATTAATCCGGATATAAATATATCTGGATTCAACTACTATCTCTAGTTGAGATATTTTAATTTAAAAATTAAAAAAAAATTTACTAAAACGATTTATCCCTTTTCTATTGACTCCCCATTTGTCGAAAATGAATTACAAAAAAAAAAAGTTTTTTAATTCGTACATTCATTTCTTTTAAGTGCTTGAGATCTCGATTTGTAAAAGATCTGCTAACATCTAAGTCTTAACAATTTTTTGAATTAATAAGCCTTCTAAAGTTTTTTTTCCATTTGCCAACGAAGATGTTTTAAAAGTAGATATGCATATGTAGCCTTATAATATTCCCTATAAAAAAAACCCCCTTGGAATCATTCTGAAATTATCCGATTTTTTGTTTGGCAAGTCGACCCTGTTTTGAATATTTACAGGATGTTTATTGGATCTCATACGTTTTTTGTACGATGAGCATTTAATTAAACATTCTCTATTTTAACGTCCCGTAATGAAAACAGTATAAAAATTAACTCATGTTTGGAAATCGACACCATTCCGATGAGTACTCAGATATTTCCATAATTCAAACTTGTACGTACCAGTGCTTCTGTATGAACGCGAATGACGACAATTGGTCAACATATGAAACGATATTTGCAACCCGTATTGCTTTGGGGTTTAGTGATTTTTTCCATCACTTATACATATCGGAGTACTGTATCTATGTTATTAATCAATGTTATGGTATTCGATTTGAATGTTGCAAACCCAACTTAGTCGATTAATCGATTATTGACTAATCGACTGGCCAACTAATCGATTAATCGATTAGTCGATTGGTCAATTAAAAATGTCAACCCGACTGTTTCAGTTGCTACCTTACGTGTATTTTACCAAATTTATTATTTTATTAAACTACTCGATTAGTAGAATAAAATAATCTATCAATTAATCGATAATAAATTTTTATCGATTTGTATCACTAGGTGGGAATTAGTAAACCCATTGTTTTGAAGTACTTTGTACAAATTTCTGGTAATTAATTAAAAAAAAATTTAGAATAAAATAGTATCGGATACAAATGTATCTATTCTTGTACATCTTTCCTTCAAAACATATATATAGGCTTCACAGTTTCATTACTCTAGATTCCAGACTTCGACTTTCCCTTTATTCATTTAAATTCTCATTTAGTTTTATTATTGTTGCATTCATCTTATTCTTTATTCAATAAAATAGACATCGTGGTTTCATACGCGATAATTAACTCAAACGGTAAGTGAGTTAATAATCTTCTGGATAACCGCATAATAATCGAGAAGTGAGTTCACGATCGTACGCCACCTGATTTAATATTGATTTATTAGCTTGATGCTTATATTTATACCGACGAACACAATACATTTATTATTATCGTCTTTAGTTATCCCGCACTTATAGAGAAATAGTTCAGGTACAACAGTACACTGTATAGAGACAATATATCTATCTACCTGGTATGTACGATATATTTATATAATATTTATGACCCGTATATAATTATCACTTAGCCCTTAAAACTGGAGAGTCTAACCTTTACAGTAGTTAAGAAGCAAATTAGTAGGGATGGGCAGATCGAGCATTTTTTGAATCCACTGCGCAGGCTGCGCAGCCTGCAGCATTATTCAGAATTATACCAGTTAGCCTGAATTTAAACAATCACACAGCGTAGTCTCTCAAAAATTCTACGCAGGCTGCGCAGTGGCCCATCCCTACAAGTTAATATTGAAATGTATTTTGTAACCTTAAAATATCTATATTTGCAACAACAGAGGACTTTCTAGATTTTTTTCTTTTTTTAAAAAACTAGATTTTACAATGTTTTACGAAGTAAAGCATGACGATAAAAAAAACAGATGATTTAAAGATATTATTTTCAACACTACTCATCATATAGGCATATCGATATAGTAGTTAATATGTCTGAACGAAAGCCAATAATTCTTTGGTGTAAGTAATGATTCATAAATATTTTTTTAGTGTGAATAAGAATTAAAAATAAATCCAAAATTTAATGGTCCACATCCCACGTTTTGATGAATTTTGAATAAGTATGAATTCTATACTTTGTTCATGTAAATTCATTAAAATATGGTTATGAAAGTTTAGATGTCAATTATTCATATGACCTTTATTAGTGATGATTTTTAAAATAATTTATTATTACTATTATTATTAAGTCCATCCCAGATCTATTTCCCATGCATTTCAGCGAACATTTATTCAACGTCCTCAAGAATTTCATATTATTTGTGGACCATTTCTTGAATTCGCTCTTGAAAGTGGCATTGCATCCTCTTTCGAACCTTTTGATCCTAGCTTATATATACCAAAGGTTTTATCTATATTTGACGAAATTTGGAAAACTCATTATGATGAATCCTTTAATAAATCAAAACGAGTATTTTGTAAGGAACATTCAATTTGGTTTCTAAAGTTTACATCAGGAACTACCATTTTATCAAGTTCACGCTTTTTAGAGATGGCACACACATTTTTAACCCGAAATCCTGAAAAGTCTGTAAAATCTTTATATAAAGTCGGTCAATCCATATCTAAAGCAAATACTGAATTTTATGCCCAAGGCTTCGATAAAAATTCAGTAGTATTGAAAGAATCCAAATAAAATTTTGATTTGCTAAAAGATTTAAATAAACAACTTATTGTTGTGGATGCTGATGATTTGGTTAACGATCCAGAAAGAATTTTAAAGAAATTAATTGAAGAACTTTACAGAAACCTAGCATTTTGCTACAAAATCGTTACGAAGCTGTTATACAATAGTCACATAGTCGTAGTGATATTACTACAATTAGCTACCTTACCTTACATGATTTAAGCGCGACTACGTCGCGCAACTACTATAATCATAGATACGGATACTAAGTGTCAGGACTATTAAGAGATTAGACTTGAAAATTATATAAAAATTGACAAATTTAATATTGATATTACTACCTGTGCCCATTCCCGTGCCTGTGCTAAAGTTTTATGCCTATACTATGCCCGTGCTTGATTTTTATGAACTAAAATCATAGTCATGTAAATGTTCATTGTTAATTATAGAATTCACCGACACTCTAATTAGTCATATTGCTTGTAAGATTATAATCGTAGTAGCAAAGCCACAATACAATCTGTAATGTATATAAGCCACTGATTTCATGTAACTAAAGGGTGTGTAGATAGGTAAATAAGAATCATATTAATAAAAATCATCTAACCCAGGAATCCAAGTGGCAATAGGATCCTTGGTTCTCGGATGAAATTTTCTATGCCCTCTTTCGAGTAGTCTTTATTTTTGTCGGTAAAACTTTTTCATCGACACAACAGGCACGAGCCCGGTTGCAGATCCCAAATTCAATATATAATTGTTTTTTAACTAGGTTATAAAATTGAAATATTTTAAATTGAGATATTATTTATTGGAAATAAATGAATATATCATTTATTTTTATAAAATTAAATCATTAAAGAGGCACTATAAATAAAATAAGCATATCCATATTACACAAATAGATGCTAATAATATGATCAAGAATTTGTAGGCTGGTTTAAATATGTAACTCTAGTTGAGAATTTAAAAAATCAAAATTTTATTAATAATAAACATAGTTTTCCTAGAGACGACAGAAATTTAATAATATATTCATAACTTTGCTTTGGAATTCAACTTATAGATCTGATGTTATTTTAACATCCGGGTCGTGTCTCTAGTCTTTAATTAACTTTAAATAATTTTGTTGGTTTTGACATACAAAAGAACAAAATTTTGATACTTAAATACGTAAAATAATCGGAGTTTTTTTCAGATTAGGCCGCACGATGTTTATTTTTCGTTTTGCATTACCCGCTGACTCAAATTTTTGAAAAACTTTTTTTTTACAATTTACTTTAAACGAAAATAACAATATTTATTTTATCGTTTTAATGAATTTAATTCAAACAAATAATACTTGTTTAATCAAAATGTAATGACGCAAAAATTATTTAAGTCTAACTCAGAAAATAGAGTAATATCAGGATGGTTCTCTTATGAAATTTGATTGGTTAAGGATGTTCTTAAACTTCAATTTCTATGTGATTAGCTAGTGATCGTAATAGTGCACAACTACAATTATATTTATATAAAATTTTTGATGACAAGTTAAATATGCAAATTATGAAGTAATCTAAGTTTTCTCAAATGTTATTCTCGATGCGATTATCTAGTAAACGTGATAATGCTCATTTATTATAATCAATCAAAATAAATTTTGCAATTGATGCTCAACAATTTTATTATTTATCAAATGTCATCGCCACTAGGTTTAGGTCTTCGTTGATATTTTATTGTTGTATGAAATGAAAATTATTGACCAAATAGTAAAATTTGTTTCCGGCAAAAAACGATAAACATTCTTATTCACGTAATAGACGTTATCAAATTACGTTTATTATTTAAATATTCATCACAATAACAAACATACATGGTCCGCTTAAAATATTTTCTGTTAAGTAAAATTTATTCACTGACTCTTTTTGACTCATTGATTAAGACGTTTGAGAATGCCCTAAATCTACAAATTTCTTTTTTTTTTTTTTTAATTTTAAAAGGTGTGTCATGCCTCTAACTTTATTGAAATTCAATCGAGTTCCTTTACAAGAAATACATACAAGAAAGAAATTACATTTGAACCTCATATCCAGAGGATAATTAAGACTAGAGACTCAGACACAATGTTACAATACATAATAACATAATTATCTGCGGCCTAAACCTACCAGAGTGGCCATGGCTCACCTAGATTTGGGAATTTAAAAATAAGTTGTGAAAGTTAAATTAGTATTTGATCCATTTTGGATACCATAATTCTAATTTAGGACTAGCAATTGAGTAAAGTGATGGTCGAGGTTGGTGTGATAAAGTAGATACAGAAGACAATTGGTTAACAGAAATATTAGCTTGGGATCTAGAGATACAGTATGGAATCCAAATAGAGTTATAAATTTGTTTGTTGAGGTGTAAAAGAAATTTGATTACAAGTGATATTGCAGTTTTCTTGGATAAGGTGAAATCAGTAAGAACAGATATGATTTCAATAGAAACAAGACCAGAAATTGTTGATAGAAGAGATGGTGCATTTGGTAAGTTGTGGATTTGCATACATTGGAGATTTAGGATTTGTTGATGTATATTAGCAATAGATTCAGTTGAAGAATCAAGGTTAGAAAGATTTATTGTTGATTAAAGTGAATTACTGATCAAATCTTGGAGAGGCTGAGGTGTTGGACATGTGATCCAGTGAAGTGCAATACTAGTTTGGTTGCATTGATAACATACTGGTGGGTATGCAGGGTTGCGTTTATGTAAAATGTGTGGAGCAGGCAAATCATCAAGTAAGATTTTGATACGAAATGATTTCAAAGTAGATGCTTGAAAGCTGTGAGAATAGTTAGATATCTTTTGGTTATTATTAATGTATAGCCAGATGGCATGCCAGTGAATCTGATTAGAGATTTGAGACCATTGCTAGAATCGGTTTTGTGATGACCAAAGGGCATAGATATGAGCATACCAAATTGTTCGAATAAATCGTCTAATTGGTAACTCTACTGAAAAGTTGTCAAAAAGAAGAGTATAGTTTGAGTTATATATATTGTAGGGTTTAAATATTAAATAAGGTGTATTAAAATGACTTCGGGCTAGTTGGTCAGCCCGATTATTAAATTCATCATCTTGATGAGCATCAACCTTATGAAAGACAACTTGTAAGTTGTGTGAATTGATGAAATTAATTAAAGTATACCATAGTGAATGGTATGGTGTTCGAATAAAAGATAAGGCAAGTGAAGCCTGATTGATGTTATTATATTTAGAAATTACAGATTGTGAATCTGTGTAAATATGGACTGTGCAGTTTCTAGATGCTGTAATGAGTGCAGATATAATAGCAGTAAGCTCAGCCTTAAAAGAGCATGGCCAGAGCTTAATTTGTACCTGAAAAGAGTGCACAATGTTGTTGTTTTGGATTTGTATTCATCCAATTCCCATAGAGCATTGAGGTGTTTCAAGTTCTATAACTGAACCATCTGTATAGAAAGAAAACTCAGAACAGTTGTAATTGTAATTGGCAATTGTCTGAAGAGTATTAGTTAAAATGTTGGCTTCAAAAATGTCTAGTATTTGTGTTATAACAATAGAAATATTAGGGCAGGTGAGATTTGAAGTGGATGCCGACAGGCAATAGAGTATATTAAATCAAGGTGATTGGTATTCAAGTTAACAGATTTGGTTGTAGAATTAACTCTGCCAAAGAATTTGGCAGCAAGATTAATAGGAATAAGAATAGTACATCTATTGGCAATAAGATTAGAGTTTAGAGAGCAGTCTGAACATCAGTAGGTAATAATAGGTGGTGTTGAATATAAGCGAGTGAATTGAGATTCAATAGAACATTGCCAGTGTGTAATAAGAATATGTCCAGAAGAGGTGGGCTGCCTGCGTGCTTTACCAATAATAATTTGATTATTAAGTGTTGTAATGAGCCAGGGTTTAGAGCGTGATGAAAAATGTCCAGTAGTATAGCAATAGTAGTTTATATTAGGGAGTTGAATGTGATTATACAAAGTTCTAGATAAATAATAACTAATAACATTATTTTCAAGGGTAGTAAACCATAATGGTTGTCTTCCTTTAGGAATTTTATGAATTCTGGATGAGATATGCTGCTAACTAAGAAGGCAAGAGTTATCAAAAGAAGTAAGTTGATCTAAGTATAAAATATAATGATAACGGAGTTGTTTTTTGAAATTAAGATATTGTGGATGTGTAGATAATATAGATTCTAATGATACAGAGTTAGTAGAGATAGTATGTGGGATCTGCTATGAAATATTAGAGGCAATAGAAGTCCAAGGTGTTTAAATAATTAAATAATTTTAAAACTTGTAGTTTGCTTATTAGGTCCATCAATTATAGGATTAGGATGTGATAGTATATTAGTTGAAGACCATAGGTTGTTTTGGAGTTGTTGAAGACGAATACGAGAACTACATTCTAAAAGGTCCATGTGTTAAGACATTTAATATAGTTTGAAATGTGGTGTTGAAGTTGAATATCTCAAATATTACGAATATTATATAATTGTGGATGAAGAAGTGTAGTAGTAGGGATAGTACAGCTAAGCTTAGCTTTGCATTTAACAAGCCCAATATGATGTATAAGTATTTTTTTGCAAGTGTTCTGGCTGAGGACCAAGTTCTGGAGATGATATTCAATTGTAGGTATAATGACAGTGTTGATGATATAACGAGCGTGTGTGTCTGTAATGCGTTTAAGGCCTGCAATTTGTATTAAATGAAAAGATTCATTGATAATTAGTTGTGTTTGTTTGTGGTGTTTGTTATCAAGTGTGATCCAACAGCCAAGAAACTTAAAGGGTTTATAGTGTAAGTGTAGAGAAAGAGCATGGTTGTTGAAGTGAATAGGTTGATAAGTAGGGATTTGGAGGGATTGACTTTAATATTAGCTATCATGTAGAAGGATTCTGCAACAGAGATAATATTTGATAGTTCATTTTGTGAGGATGCAATCCATAGAGTGTCATCCATA